ATTCTTTCAATTCCTATTGTTCTGATCATTGTAACTCATGTTCTACTAATAAAAGTCACAAATTACCCTTTCATGAAACATCTCTTACATCACATGCTCTACTAGATCTTATTTTTTCAAATGTTTGGTGCTCTCCAGTTCAATCCTATGATCACTATAAGTATTACATCATTTTTGTTGACCACTTCAGCAAGTATATATGGTTATACCCCATGAAAAAGAAATCAGATTCTCTATCTATCTTCATTCGTTTCCAATCACTTGTTGAAAATTTCTTCAACAAAAAGATCAAACAGTTTTTCTTAAACAATGGTGGTGAATTTTAAAAACTTCAATCCCACCTTTCTTCCTCAGGAATTACTCACCTCACTTCGCCACCACATACTCCAGAACACAACGGATATGCCGAAAGACGACATAGGCATATTGTAGAAACATGACTTGCATTGCTTTCTCATGCAAACATCCCAAATACCTTCTGTCCATTCGCCTTCACCACAACAGTCTATTTAATTAATCGCCTGCCCACCTCAACCCTCCACAACCTATGTACTTTTCGTTGCCTCTTTCAAAATGATCCCAACTATTCCAAACTAAAATTTTTGGTTATTTATGCTATCCATGGCTAAGACCTTACTCATACTAACCCCAAACTACAAACATGCCTTAATTAATTAATTATATATATATATATATATATATATATATATATATAATTTAATTTACATATATACCATCTATACATACATTCATCACATTGATGAGGTCCTCTTGAAATGTAGATCAATCCAAGCAAATAAATTGCCTCAAGATGATCTTCATCTGCTGCTTGTATCAACAAAGTCAATCCTAAATCAAATTTTCCATAATAAAAGCACTCATCGTGTTGGCTGAATAACAATATCAATATATAACATCAATAACACTAAATATTAATAAATGGTATAGATTACATATAATTATTGAAACTACACATACAATTCATTGTCTGAACATGGCTTCAATGTTATTATGTAATGCACATATACGTATACATAAACCAGCTTTTAGATTTTTGGGACCCATTCCTTCAAACATGCCAATGCATGTTATTTTGTCCACTTGAGGATCACCCCCCGCTTCATACATCTTCTTTGAACTTCAAAATTTTAAATAACGAATAAATAAAGTTGTATTTCATCAAATATACATTCATTAGTTGATGTTTATTGAGAATTACCAAAGTCTTGCATGGACGATGTCTTTCGTAGATTCTGCCTCTAATACTACAAATATTCGACTCAAAATCTCTAGTGGGAGATCATCTAACGAACGGCAAATTCTATTATTCGAAATTCTACTTACAGAATACACATTTTGGAGTAACTGATTTCATTTTTTTTAATTAAGTGTAACTATGAAAGACAATGTAACAGAGTATGGAAAAAAACTTACTTTGTGATGATCTGGTCGTCAGGAGTACAAGAGTCTATATTATCGGAGAAAATTGTTTTTAAGAAAGATTATCCTTCGACGATTTGGGGGTTTTAGTATTTGTATGCATATTTATCGTCTGAAAAGGTTTAGATGTTCTTAATGGTTGAAGAACTGAAACAACGGTGTGATGTCAGAGGTATGATGGCGTATAACGCCCGTAGATCCGGACTAGTCAATTTAGAGACGATAAGCGTCAAAAAAATGACTTTTTGATAAAATATTATTTAGAAGGAGTAATCTTAACTAAGTTGTAGTATATGTTACAAGGATTTTGTGCATATAAAGAACGCTGGAATCTGAGTTATAACGAAGAAGTTATGACCGTCGAAGTTTCGCGACAGAACCGGCACGACGCTAAATAACGTATAAAGTGAATTTACGTTAGAGCAATATTTAGCCTTATCAATCTAAACAAAATTCGTAGAATACGTTAAACCGAAAGCGTGCATAAAAAAGAACGCCCAAATCTGACTTCGTATGAGGAAGTTATGATTTTTCCGAAGTTTCGACTTAGCAGTATGCAGCCCGAATCCTCGATTTGAGATCGAGTGATTTTTAACTGAAACAATCTAAACGAGAATCGAATATCTCATTGATAGTAGTGAAACGATAAAAAGATAGGCGAAAACGGACGTCGGATGAAGAAGTTATGAATTTATAACGGAGTTTTCCTATCCCGACCTACTAAAAATAATATATAAGTAATATATTTATAATATATTAAAAATAAAGTCAAAATTAGCCAACAGAGTCTAAACGATAGTTGTAGATCATAATCTCGCCTACGTGTCGATATAAAGAGCGTTGAAAACGGAGTTCGTATGCGAAAGTTATGAATTTCTGAAGTTCGGGGTGCGAAACTCCAAAACTATCCGATACCACGACGTGACAAGCAGTGCCACGATGTGGCAAGTCTTCTGACATCTCCTGGAGTCCCCCAGACGCAACTTGCGATGACACATGCAGTGATGACCAAGCCCACGACATGGAAAAAGGTGTCACGGCGTGGCAAGGGCAAATTTTTCCCTATAAATAGATTTGAAGGGCCAGCCGTTTAGGGTTGTTATTTTCTCTCCTCTCTCTCTCTCCCATTTTACCTCGATTTACGTGCAAGAAATATCCCGAAGCCCCGATATCATCCTAAGTCCCGAAGCCCGAAGATCCCGAGAAGAAAAGAGTTTCCAAGCCGAAGCTCTGCCTGCGAGGAGCCCGGTTTGTGGGAAGATCTTCCAGATCTACCGAAGAATACTACTTCTACAAGCCGTAGTGCTGTCCGATCATCTTCTGATCAAGTGAGTGTGTGGTCACTTTCTTCTAACACATAAATATTAAGTATTTGTTATGAAATACGTGTTATGTGTATAATATAAAGTTGTTTATATGTGTGAGTGTATAGTCCCTTTCATAACACCATCTTAATACAAGTATTGTTTGAATGTATTAAGTATATGTTTTGTGTGAGTGTGTGGTTACTTTCTTCTAACACATAAATATTAAGTATTTGGTATGAAATAAGTGTTATGTGTTTATATATATTGTTGTTTATTTAGAGTGAGTGTATAGTCTCTTTCATAAACACAATTTTAATACAAGTATTGATTGAATGTATTAAGTATATGTTTTGAGTGAATGTATAGTTACTTTCTTCTAACACATAAATATGAAGTATTTGCTTGAAATACATGGTATGTGTTTATGTACTGTTGTTTATTTGAGATAAGTGTGGAATGGATGTTTTATATGGTTTTTAAATGAGTTAAACTGTATATGTATTTTGTATCTACTAATATGTTGGGTAGAACATGGGTAGATGAGATAGTTGGTATGTGATAAAATGATGAGGTATGTAAGATGATTAAAGAATAATATTGGCAGATGCACCAATTAGATAATGTCATAATACTAGCAGATGCACTTAAGAATAATATTGGTAGATGCACCAAATGGAGAATATTATAATACTAGCATATGTGCTTATGGGATAATCCTGGAAGATGCGCATATAGGAAAATGTCGGCAGATGCGCCTAAAAGAGAATGTCATAATTCTGGTAGTCGCGCCTCATAGTGTATGACGTAATCTTGACAGATATGCTTAAAGTATGATGTTGGTAGATGCGCCTTATGTAGCAATAGATTTTGTGCCAATTCCTTAGGTCAATCCTTAGGAATGAATGGATGACGGGTAGTTAAATTCTTAGGGTAAAATCCTAAGAAATAAAGAAGATAATGAGGATGAGTAATTATGTTGATTGTTTAACGGTTGAATATAATAATTATATTATTGTGGGTCGAAAACCCTATATGCTCACCAGACTCCCAAACCTGACCCACTCAGTTTTCTTTGTATCACAGGTATCAATATGAAGACATATTTCACTGAGAGATTAAAAGAGATGTAAATCATTAGTGTAAATAAATGTAAGTTTTGTTTATGCTTATGTGTTTGTATCGGAACATGACATCCCGAGATTTTGTTATATAATGAAAATACATTTCTTTAAAGGAATGTTTTGATAAATTCTTATCATATTTTGTTTTGGGAACAAATTCCGCAACCGTTTTCTTTAAAAGATCACTCTGATTTTAAAAACAAAGCATAAACAAATCGGTTTTTTCTGGCCGTGAAATTGGGGATGTCACATGGCGCCTTAACGATTTAGAGTGCAAAAATACCATTGCCCTTGAAATCATTCCAAATATGTGAATACTAAGAGTATTTGTATCAAAACACATTATTCAAATATTATAACCTTTTATAGCTAGGTAACAGTGGACTTTTAATTGTTGAAATGAAAAAGACAAAAATAACATATATATCATAATCCATAATGTAATACATTTATATTAACATTTCACCAAATTACTAATATATATTCATGTATTAATATATATATATATATATATATATATATATATATATATATATATATATATATATATATATATATATATATATATTAAAATTGGAACAAGAATTTAACAATAAACTTTTTTACTTTAGATTTTAGACACAATAGTTTTCTTTTGTTGCCACTTTTAGTCCCTATGTTTATAGTAAATTTTTTACTTTGATTTTAGCCACAATACTTTTTCTTTGTTGCCACTTTTAGTCCCTATGTGTATGCCCTTACAATTTTACCCCATGCAAAACATGGTTTCTCCAGTAGTTGATATTAAACCAAATTACCAAAACCAAAATAAAATACATTTATTTTTACGCCTTTACAATTTTATTTTATATGTATTTAATATTAGGAAAGAACAAACATTTGTTACATACAACTATAATCACAATACAATATAAACACTAATATTGAAAGTCCAAAACACATTATTCAAACATTATTCAAACATCATTCAAACATCATTCCAAACTTTTACTCTTTTAGTCCTTTATTAACAACACAACATATTTACTAATCAAGTAATTACTTATCAAGTAAATTACTATTTATTTGTATATTAGACCAAAATAATGTACATAGCATTAATTGTCATAATATGAAAGTACATATCAACAGACTACTCATAAATTATACCAAACTCCCTAGAAAACCTAACGAAACAAGCCTTCCACAAACAAATTTCACACCTAAACACCCATTTGTATCCATTCACAAAAGCATTTGACACACTAATTACAGACTTATGCATTGCACAAGTTCTATGGAAGCCATGGAAGTGTACATGTTTCCTCCCCTCCCTATTTAAATTGAGATGAACCTTAGAATAAGTTGCTCTAAGATTCCACTTACCTTTTTCTCTGCGGTAAGCATTGATCAACATGTCCAAAGCTTCCTGTTTCTTATGTCTCCCTTCAGCCATCACCATCATTCCCAGAACAAATGTTGAATACAAATGTCCCAATGCAGATGCTTCTTCAAGCACCATTTTCCCTTCATGATCAGCTTCTAAGAAAAATAAATTCATCTGGAAAAAAAAACATTAAACACATAATTTCTAGTTATAGTAATGCAAAACAAGAAATAAATTAATTAATACTATGCACATATATAACAATGTACCAATCCATTCTTGAACAGAATATTTAAGTTTCTCATCTCTATGCATTTGTTGACAACTGTATGTTTCTGGTCAGACCAACCACATATTGTAATCCATCTACCTCCATATGTTTATATATTTCATCCGTTTTTCCTGCTTCTTTAAAGAATCTGCAACTGCAAAAGAAACACAACATTCACTCCAAAATGTAAAGACAACTCAAATACACTTGTGAAATAGAATGATCGAAGACAAAACCTACACACTCTTCATCCAGAAAGCCTCGACTGTTGAAATTTTTTCCAAGTCGACTATTATTTTCTCCATCACTTCCAATGGCATGTCTGTTAGCGATTTCCTTTGATTTCTTGATTGCATCTTTGAAGAAGTACTGGCTTACATAATAATAAACATTCACTAAGATAACGATTATGTGAAAATGATTTTAGGGTTTTTTTTACTATCGAGATTTTGAAATTGGGGTTGTTTGCAAGTGACTGAAATAAGAGTGAAGAACTGAAACAACGTGTTTCGTCGGAAAACATTATGGCTCCTAGAAGATGTTCCATTATAAAATGACCAAATTTTCCTCATACATACAATGACTCATATTTAATTAGTAATGGTAGTTTTTTCAAAAGTCATAATTAAAAGAAAAATCAATTTCTATTTTAATACACATCCGACACAAATGATATATGTTGATCAATGACCCATATGCATCCATGGACACCATAAGCAACTACCATGTTGACCAATGACCCGTATGTCATCCATGGACACCATAAGCAATTTCCATGTTGACCAATGACCCATATGTCATCCATGGACAACATAAGCAACTACCATGTTGATCACCAATGACATGTATGTCATCCATGGACACCATAAGCAACTACCATGTTGACCAATGACCCATATGTCATCAATAGACACCATAAGCAACTACCATGTTGACCAATGACCCATATGTCATCCATGGACACCATAAGCAACTACCATGTTGACCAATGGACCATATGTCATCCATGGGTGATACCATGACACCATAAGCAACTATAATCTACATTGACATGACCCGTATGACTTTTATATATAAATTTTGGTATAAACATAAAAGCATAAAGATGTATAGTTTATTATGGGTATTCGCAAGGGTTTTCGTTTAATGAGGGTTCTCGCCCCAAATGACTCCTCGGTCTTGGGGTTCTCGGCCTAGAGAGGGTTCCCGGTTTGAGCATGATTTTGGTTTTGTTCTTATAACACTTCAAACGCAACTAAAATTTTGAAAATTTTGATTTATCTTATTGAATTTTCAAGTGTTTATTACAACAAGTGATGTGGTTTTGCAATATACATAGATATACCTTTCTCGATCCCAAATGATATATGTTGATCAATGATCCATATGTCATCCATGGACACCATAAGCAACTACCATGTTGACCAATGACCCGTATGTCATCCATGGACACCATAAGCAATTGCCATGTTGACCAATGACCCATATGTCATCCATGGACACCATAAGCAACTACCATGTTGACCAATAACAGGTACGTCATCCATGGACACCATAAGCAACTACCATGTTGACCAATGACCCATATGTCATCAATGGAGACCATAAGAAACTACCATGTTGACCAATGACCCATATGTCATCCACCATAAGCAACTACCATATTGATCACCAATGACCTGTATGTCATCCATGGACACCATAAGCAACTACCATGTTAACCAATGACCCATATGTCATCAATAGACACCATAAGCAACTACCATGTTGACCAATGACCCATATGTCATCCATGGACACCATAAGCAACTACCATTTGACTAATGGACCATATGTCATCCATGGGTGATACCATGACACCATAAGCAACTACAATCTACATTGACATGACCCGTATGACTTTTATATATAAATTTTGGTATAAACATAAAAGCATAAAGATGTATAGTTTATTATGAGTATTCGCAAGGGTTTTCGTTTAATGAGGGTTCTCGCCCCAAATGACTCCTCGGTCTTGGGGTTCTCGGCCTAGAGAGGGTTCCCGGTTTGAGCATGATTTTGGTTTTGTTCTTATAACACTTCAAATGCAACTAAAATTTTGAAATTTTTGATTTATCTTATTGAATTTTCAAGTGTTTATTACAACAAGTGATGTGGTTTTGCATTATATATAGATATACCTTTCTCGATCCCAAAATTTCCTAGTTGTCACATGATATCTCATATGTGCTTAGCATGGTGATTTGATATCAAGAGAATCCTGGTGATAGTCATTGGACGAACATAAAGAATATTTTCAAGTATGTGAAAAGAACTAAGGATATGTTATTTGTATATGGTGGAAAAGAATAATTGAGAGTTACGGGTTACACTGACGCAAGTTTTCAGAATGGTAAAGACTACTCGTGCTCACAACCGGGATGGGTGTTCTTGCTTAATGAAAGAGTTGTTACGTGGAAAAGTTCCAAACAGAAGACAATATCATATTCGACATGTGAGTCTAAGTACATAGCGGCAAGTGAAGTTGCAAAGGAAGGTATATGGTTAAAGAACTTCGTTGATCTTGGAGTAGTACCAAGCATCAAAGAACCACTAGAAATCTTTTGTGATAACGAGGGTCCAACCACCTTAACTAAAGAACCTAAGGACCATGCAAATTCAAAACACATTCAAAGGAAGTACCAATATGTTCGACATCGTGTAGAAGATTGTGACATCGTCATGAGTTGGGTATCATCTTAGTAGAATCCTACTTATCCATTCACAAAGCCACTATCAAGAGAGAAACATGATGGTCATGCTAGGACGATTGGCATGAGACTATATAATCATTTGATGTAGTACTTTAGTTGTTAGTTAGAATGATCATGACACGTTTTAGAGGATGAATTGTAAAAAAAAAAAATTATTTCGAAGAGTTTTAATAAAGAGTTTTAGTTTGCTATCAAAATATTTTTAATTCAAATATTGTGTTTCACTTTTGCATGGTTTTGAACCAACTTCCAGAATATTTAATTATGTTCAAAACTCCACAATCGATCGCATTCTCATGAGTAAATGTTGTTATTAAAGACTTTCATGAGCGCTGGTTGATTGACCAAAGTGTTTTTGGGCATTGGAATTGAGAATTACTAACCTCTTGTTCATTCCTTGAGTTCTTCATTTTTTCTATTTGGTGTGTAGGTCTAATTCCATTAGAGGGATTCTCCTTTGGATCCTTCATCTTGAAACTAACTTGGCATGTACGAGATCCCAATGAAATGAAAAAGAGCTTAGTAAATCTTTCTATGAAGTTTTTCAAAGTAGGATGCTATAATAGTAAAACGTAGATTCTAGGTTGCATGTGCACTTAGGTATATCATGTTTTGATTTTTTTTCCCCGCTACATATGTAATGTGTACTTGTTGCTAATAATTTCCAACATATCGAAGTGTTAAATGTTATTCCAATATTCTAAATTCTAACACATGTGGGTGGGAAATTGGTTACTCCTATTTCAAAATGTAATCATTTGCATAATAAAACCAAAAATAATAGTTTGTAGGTCAGTTTGATACAATTAAAAGTTTAGTGACTTAAATTGAAAAATGGTGTTATCTGTTGTCATTTTATGATATTTTCCTTATTGAAAATAATGTGTTCTTAATTTTGCGAAATCTTCATGGTAAATTTTTAGGTGTTATTTAGTTTAAGCTAATTATGTAATAGGGAAATAGGAAATGAATGACAACTTTATGACCATTATTAGTGACAACTATGTCTTATGTGATTTATAAACTGATTTAGGAATTCATGTATAGAAATTGTCATGCTAAGACATGTTACATTGCTTTGAGTACAAGATTTCCATATTAAAAATTGAGATCATAGGATTTATAAAGTTGAGAATTTTATAAAACGGCGCATGTTCTACTTATTGGTGGGTAAATTCAAGCTTATCACCTATAGTTAGGAGTTCGTCTCCTCTAATTAAAAATGAAGGAAATTTCAATGTTGATGAGAATTAGCAAGTGTTAACCATAAAAGCAATGAAAAGCTTCTATATGAATTGCAAGAGAGAAAAAAAGACGAAATGCATCATATTTTGAATGAATGATTAGGTTATACTTCTCAAAGTCTTTGAGAAGGTCCTACAAGGAGCAAATCTACCAAAAGTATCAAACAACTATGAAATCTATCTATGGATTGTCCTTCAACCCCAATATCCAATATGGGATGTGTTTTTAAATCATTCTTGACATCTAGTATAAAAGAGTATGAAGGGAATTTTGATCCCAATATAACCATTCATCAGATAACTAAAAAAGATTAAGTGCTTCAAGATAGTAAGTATAAAGAAGAACAAAATATGATTACTAAAGGGAGAAACACTTGTATGAAGGAACGTTGTGTATAACACATTCGCAAAGGTTACAGTATCGCATCTGAATTGGAAGAATTTGTGGAAGATTAAATGTGAATTTTTGTGTTAATCGTGATTCAGAGGATATTGTGGATAATTTCTTTTTTGTTCGCAAGGAAGATATTTCTAGAAAATATACCAAAAGGATTCATGAATATGATTCCTTACTTAGAAGATACAATGACCATTAAATGGACGATGATCATTCATTACTGAAGCGGGCTCCCACCAAGAATTCAGTTGAAGTCGAATGTGTCACTACACTCATCATAACACGAATATGAAAAATATATGATCAAGAAACGTTCAAAAGAGAGCCAAGAGCAAGGAGATAAAAGTAAATATGAGCAATCCACCATATATAATAAGAAGAGTTACCATTCTTTAAACGAGGAGAAAACAGTATGTAAAAAAGATGAAGTATTTGTGGCAACTTCCAATTAGGGAATGTCGAAAGACCAATCAATGTTATGAATGTGGAAAATAGGTCATAAAGTGGAGAATTGTAAAACCAAAGGATTATGGGAAGCGGAGTGGTACTACTAGTGTACTCATGGAATAGGGTAATGTCATTAGGTTGGAGGGAGTGGTGCCAAAAAAACTGCACTCTCTCCTCTGCCACGTAGCCATCATATCAATTATACCACACTTTGTGTGGTTATTTACCACACCTAGAGTGTGGGAACCTTGGTAGAGATCGAGAGAGATCGAGAGAGAGAGAGAGAGAGAAAGAAAGAGAAAGAGAGAAACAATTGAAGAGAAAAGGGAAGATGAAAGAGATGAGAGAGATGCGGCAGAACCACATATCACTCCCCATAGACTTATAATTACCCAAAGAATTGGACAAAAACTTTGGCTTCAATAGCACAAAAGAAATTACTTGTTTATCCTTAAGATTCCCTCCTATTATCACAATTTGATATTATTTATATCATAAACTAAGGGTGAGCAAAAACCGCACCGCAACTAAAATTAACCGCAAAAACTACAACCGATAAATCGCAACCGCAATAAAAACCGATGGTGAGGTTTTCTGTTTTTCAAAAATCGCAATTTTGCAGTATGATGCGGTTACTAGTTTTTAAAAACCGCACTGCACCGCATATATTATATACAATTTTTTTATTAATTATTAATATATTAAATATTAAAATAATACAAGTTTCATGAATTAACGATGAATAAAATACTAGAAGACAAAAAAGTGTTAGTTTTTTGTTATGTTTAACTTTGAAAATTTGTGAAATTAGACAATTTTAAGATATTTATTGTTAAATACTATTGATTTGACGTTTTTAAGATACAAGTTGTTTGTGATTTAAATAATATGTTTGAACTTTTAAAATTGTTTGAGCTCTAAATTGTGGTTAAAAACCACACTGCATCAAATTCATGCGGTTAATATCCTTAACACAAAAAAAACAAAACCGCACCGCAAAAATAACCGCACCAAACGGTTTTGAAAATGGATTAACCGCATTTACGGTTAGTGGTATGTTTTGACTAATAACCTCATCGAACCGTACCGCGTTCATCCCTATCATAAACATATCAAATGTTTATTTTATTTGAACTTAAAACCTTTTAAATGAAATCGTAACCTCTCTTTCATAACTTCCACATAACCTAATATAAGTAACATCCCCAAAAGTGATGTTTTTTGTATTTGAATGATTCTTTATGCATATACCTCAATGAAACTGCTAATTATCCAATAAAATATTAAGTTCTAGAAAAAAAAAATAATGTAGTTACTTTATTTCCATAAATGTATTAAAAAATTTAGATCCAATGGTCCGAATATAGTTTGCCCCTTTCCTGAAAAAGACACCCAAAAAGTAGTCTTCGCTACAACACAAGTCTCACACGTGTTATACCCTAGAAGACAACATGGGACCCACTTCATTAACAGCTGTCCCAAAAGACATAATCCACTTTTGTTTCACTTCCTCACCTCTTTCCTTTTTCATGTCCTACTCCCCAATCTTACAACACCTTCTCCGTGTTCGATTCGTATCCATGATCCAACACAAATTTATATAAACAGATGACACTTCGAATAAAGATTCACTCACAGAAACAGTTTCAGTTTAATTTCTACTTTAAAGATTCAAAGATTCCATGGAGATGAACAGTTATAACAACGTTAACGGGTATAATAATGATGGATATGGGTATGGAAATGGATATGGATATGGATGTGGATATGGATATGGGTCGAGTCCACCGGAGATGGAAGGAGGAGGGGAGTCGTCGGGGACGTCGGAGGAGGTGATGTTGGCGTCTAGTCATCCCAAGAAGCGTGCCGGAAGGAAGAAGGTTCAGGAGACGAGGCACCCGGTGTACAGGGGAGTGAGGCAGCGGAGCTCCGGGAAGTGGGTTTGTGAAGTGAGAGAGCCGTATAAGCAGTCGAGGATATGGTTGGGGACTTTTCCGACGGCGGAGATGGCTGCCAGAGCTCATGATGTGGCGGCGTTGGCGTTGAGAGGGAGGTCGGCTTGTTTGAACTTTGCGGATTCTTCTTGGAGGCTTCCGACTCCGGCGTCATTGGAGCCAAATGATATTAGGAAGGCGGCGGTGGAGGCGGCGGAGGCATTCCGGCAGAGTGAGGATGGGAATGGTGATCAGTCGGCGGAGGGAGTAGGGGTGGAGGTGGGTTATGGGGGAAATGTCGGATATATAGATGAAGAGGAGGAGTTTGGAATGCCGGGATTGCTTGTGAATATGGCGGAGGGAATGATGCTGCCGCCTCCGCCGTCGTACGCCGGTGGTGAGGAAGCGGAGTATGGCGGTGACATGTCATTGTGGAGTTACTGACTTAAATTCCCCTTTTTGTTTGTGTGTGTGTGTGTTGGGGAACTTCAAGTATGAAAAAAGGATGGATTTAGAAATATTCCGTGCTTATATTGTGTTTTTTTAGAAATATGTACGGATATTAGAAACATATACAAAGAGTGAAATATTGTGATGATTATAAATATATTTCAATGTATGGTTCCTTACAAAAATGTCATATTGGAAATCATATGTTTCAATATTGAGTGTTTGTTGTTAATTACATCATTATAGTTGATAACAATGTCTTATTAAAATAAAATAATAGGTACAATCAATTTATATTTTAAAATGTTATACAATCAAAATAAATTTAATTCCTTTAAACTTGAACCAAATAAATTTAATTCCTTTAAACTTGAACCATCGACCTCAAACAAAAAAAATTTGACAAAAAAAATTTGATACAGTTAGATTATAAGTTTTTTAGCAGACGGTATCTTTAGTAGTATACAATTAAGGTATATGTTGTTCAGCATATTTTTTTTAAGAAAGGTATCTTCCACCTTTATTATATAATTTCCAAATACAAGATTTTGAAAGTTTGTTAGAAATTTTAATTTGTTGAATATTACAATTTCACAAAATAACATAAAGGAAAAAGGAAAGTCCTATAATCTTTTAAAAACAGATAGATTTTCTTTTAAAACTTACTTTAAAAGAAGATAGAAAACTTACTTTGTGAACAACGTGTGCGATTATTTTTTCTCTCTCAAACATTTTGTAAATATAATTTATCCAAAAACATTAAAATAGAAAACACAAAACCTAAAATACCCTTTAAGTCAACATCAAAAAGAAACACTTACAAAACACTCGATCTAAATTCTAACCAAATGATATTTTATAATGATGACCAATACTCAACTTATATAATCAGATAGATCTTATTTTATGCATTATTTCTCATACCATTTTCTTTTAATATAACTCTCCTTTTACACGAGTTATATATATATATATATATATATATATATATATATATA